AGGGATCAGTCCCTGGAGAAGGACATCATGCTTGGTAAAGTAGAGGGTTAGTGAAAAAGAGAAAGACCCTCAATGAGATGGACTGACATAGCAGATGCAACAATGGGCTCAAGCATAACGATAGTGAGGATGGTACAGGACCAGGCAGTGTTTCGTTCTGTTGTACCTAGGGTCACTATGAGTTGGAACCGACTCGACGGCACCTAGCAACAACAACAACATGGATGCGTAAGAAATCAGAAATGATGCTGATGAAAAATTTACTATGGATTATTGTTTAATAGACTTGCCTGCTACCCGATTCTATCTGATGACAACCCTAGTTTCAAAGACTATTTAGAACAGGACCAGTGTACTTTTCTCAGTTCTGTACCTTGTTTCTTTCTTACTTTCTCTCTCTGCTCTTCGGAGTTGGTGTCAACAGGAAAAATAATATATAAATAGACTGCTTTAGGGAAGCAATGTTTTCAAAGAGTAGACTGGCCAACTTATTTCAGTATTCAAAGATAGAATGCTAGCCACAAACTAACGAGATTAACAAAATAGCACCGTAAGGTATTCGTGCAAACTTTAGGATCAGAACACTAAGTGTTGGCTTATTAAACCCAAAGTCTTTTTACCAGGAGAAAGTGGCCGAAGACATTGGTTTCAAACACCTCCTGGAGCCCATCTGCAGTGGTCTTGTCTTCCTGGGTCAACATCCCTTCAGCTGTGGAGAACATATGCATCACCCTTCTGAAAGAGCAGAAGACAATTATATGACATTTTTAAAGCTTCTTTAACTGAAGACACTGAAGAGACTCCCCTCCCCCAAAGAAACATTACCTTTTCCTTGATTCTGTAATGACGAGAGTAAAACACCATCAATTCTCATTATTCCCAGATTCTGTATCTGCCGACTTGCCTACTTGCTAACATTTATTTGTAACCCCCAAATCAATACTTTGGGTGTTTTTGTGGTCATTCACAGGCATACACAAGTGCAGAGTGGCAACATTTTTCAGTCAACAACATGCATGTTCCCAGCTGAGGTCAAATACAGCTCGTTTGGTATTCACTAACTCAGTATTCACAGGGACTTAACAGAACATAACTATCAGGAATAATGAGAGTGGACTGCACTTATTTCCCAGACTGGGTATCAGTCTCTGCAGCCTGTGAGCCAGAGCCCTGCTGTCTGACCTGCCGATCTTGGGTTTGCCAGCCCCTATGGCTACGTGAATCAGGAGAAGCCTCCAGCCTGACCCAAGGACTCGGACTTGGACTTGGGACATTCCAGCCTCTACAACCACCTGAGCCACTTCCTTGATATAAATCTCTCTCTATATATATGTATATATATATTTATACGCTTTACTGGTTTTGCTTCTCTAGAGAATCCAGCTTAAGACACTGGGTTATCGTGAGCATTGTATAAGATGTATCTACTGTGCTTCACACTGTGCTCAGCACTTCACAGGTGTTCAAGAAATGCTTTCTGTCCTCCAGCTCACAACACCCAGAGGAGCCTGAGGCTCTCAAAAATCTGCTGCTAAAACTCTCTTAATCTCTTTCCAAATCAGTTTACAGGTATTATTCTAAGGGAATAACAGCTTTGCCACGGAGAAAAAGTCTTTCCTACACAGACTGGTGTTTAGTTGCTGAACAGAATTAAACAGATTCCTTTTTCTACTGGGACTTCTTGAAGTATCGAACATACTAATACAATATTTTGTTGTCAGATCAACTAGGTAGGTTGAGACCACTGGGTTCTTTTTGTTTTGTTTTAATGGGAGAGAAGTAAAGCAAAAGTAGCAGTGTAATAAGCAGCATACAACAAGAGTCAGAATATCTATTTATGAGTAAGTGTACTGGGTTGTAAAATAAAATTTATTTCTTACCGTGGGTTGTGGTTAACACTTTTTGAAAGCCACTATACTAGTGTGTATTGAGAATCTCCCAGGAAGATATTTAGTTCTCTGTATATCCCCAGCCTACTGGTCAGAGCGCCTGACATACAGCTGGGAAATGCTGTCAGAAGTAGCCTTTCTGGGTACTGGGGTCTCACTGAGAACTGCCTAATTCTGAAACATTCTTGCTAATGGACACATTCAGGCAGGCCAAAAACCGACCTTCTGAAAAATCCAACCACTTGGAAAGTCAGCAGTTTGAATCCACCAGCTGCTCCTTGGAAACCCTATGGGGCAGTTCTACTCTGTCCTATAGGGACACTATGAGTTGGAATCAACTCAACAGCAACAGGTTTGGTTTTTCTTGGAATGTCCCAAAGACCCAGAACATCATAAGAGCCATGACTTGTAGAATTCCCCACAAAAGATGCTTTTCTTTCATGACATGACAGCAACACCCCCTTCTATGTCCTCATCCTTCTCAACATCCTCACCTTTCATCCCCTAAACATAACATACCAAGGGCAAAACTAGCAAGAAAACTGAAGACCTTCCCTCCAATCAATCCATCTAGAAAATGGAAGTTACCTTGAAAAGAGGCCAGAAAAAAGTCCTCTGATACTCAGATGTGGATTAGGCATGATTCCAGCATTTAGATATACATAGTCCAATCTCTGAAACCTGCAAGTAAACACCAAGACAAGATTGTATCTTTAGAAGGAGTAGAATAAAGAAGGTCTATGCAAGGACAGAAAATACTTCCAGAAACAAAAAGATGGCCACAGCAAGCTAAAGGGAATATAATATATAACACATCAGGGTTACACTACTTCTTTCTCAACAGTTTTTCTTTAGTTAGGGTAAATATTTGAGTATTCTTTTTTTAAGGGTGGCTTCAAACAGAATTTGGGGTACCTTAATGGAGTCCTGGTGGCACAGTGGTTAAGAGGTCAGGTCAACAGTTTGAATCCATCAGCTGCTCCTTGGAAACCCTATGGAGCAGTTCTACTCTGTCCTATAGGGGTGCTATGAGTAAGAATCAAATCGACGGCAACAGGTAATGAGCTCTGAAGTCAAGCCCTCTCTGGTCAATGCTTCTTCCAGTTCTGTCCTCTATACTAGGTACTGTCATGGATTGAATTGTATTCCCTAAAAATATGTGTCAACTTAGTTAGGCCATGACTCCCAGCATTGTGTGGTTGTCCGCCATTTTTTGATTTTCCTATGTGTTATAAATCATAATCTCTGCCTGGGGTTAAAGAGGATTAGGGTGGGATGTAACACCCTTGCTCAGATCACATTCCTGATTCAATGTAAAGGGAGTTTCCCTGGAGTATGGTGTGCACCATCTTCTATCTTACAAGAGATAATAGGAAAGGGAAGCAAGCAGAGAGTTGGAGATCTCATACCACCATGGAAGAAGCACTGGGAGCAGAGCACATCCTCTGGACCTGGAGCTCCTGCACGGAGAAGCTCCTAGTCCAGGAGAAGATTGACAAGAAGGACCTTCCTCCAGAGCCAACAGAGACAGAAAGCCTTCCCCTGGAGCTGAGGCCCTGAAGTTGGACTTCTAGCCTACCAGACTGTGAGAAAATAAATTTCTCTTTGTTAAAGTCATCCACTTGTGGTATTTCTGTTATAGCAGCACTAGATGCTAAGACAGAATTTGGTACTGGGAGTGGAGTGCTGCTCTAACAGATACCGAAAATGTGGAAGCAGTTTTGAAACTGTAAATGGATAGAGGACTGGCAGCAGGAGAACCAGGAGACCAGTACCAGCAAGCACTGGAGCCGACCCATGGAGTGAAAGAGCTGAGCGCCTTTGTACAGGAGGCTTCGTGGCAGAGTAGGGTGCCTCCAGGCACTTACTGGTAGAGCTACAGAGCTTTGGAACACTTGCCCAGCAGGGCAGATATGGGCGTTGAGGTCTGAGAGGCCAAGAGGCCAAGGAACCAGGAAGCAGAACCTGAAGAGACAAGGAACACAAAAAGCTGAGCTGCCTCAGTCTCAAAAGGTATGGCCTCGACCTCTGGGGTTTCAAAGGTGGAGCCATGGCCTCTGGTGTTTCTAAGGGTGGAGCTGCCACTCAGATGGACTAGGAGAATGGTGCGCCTGAAGCTGAGGGGGCAGAGTTGCTGTCCCAGTGGGCCTGGAAGGCAGAGTTGAAGCCCAGAGGTGAGGGGCCTCCGCTCAGAATCTGGAGAGTGTGGGCAATACCTAGAGTCTAGAGGGCAGGGCCATTGTGTGAATGGTCTCAGAGAACAGAAGATTATTTTCAAGCCTTGAAGGCTAATGCAATATGTTCTGCTGACTTGCTTGGTGTCTGTTATCCCTTTTTTCCCTGCAATTTCTCTCATTTGTAATGGAAATGTCTAGCTTGTGCCTGTTCTACCATTGTACTTTGGAAGCAGATAACTTGTATTCTAGATTTCACAGATGAAGAGGAGTTTTTAGATTCTGGACTTGGAGCTGATTTAAGACTTCTGCTATGATATGATGAGGTGAACGTGTTTTACATTGGCAAGGATATAAATTTTGGGGGGCCAAAAGGTAGAGTGTCATGGATTGAATTGTGTCCCCCCAAAATATGCATCAACTTGGTTAGGCCAGTACTGTGTGGCTATCCTCCATTTTGTGATTTTCCTATGTGCTATAAATCATAGTCTCTGCCGGTGGTTAAAGAGGAACTCAGGTGGGATGCCTGATCCAATGTAAAGGGAGTTTCCCTGGAGTGTGGCATGCACCACCTTTTATCTTACAAGAGATAAAAGGAAAGGGAAGCAAGCAGAGAGTTGGGGACCTCATACTATCAATGAAGAAGCACCAGGAGCAGAACGCGTCCTTTGGACCCAGGGTTCCTGCATGGAGAAGCTCCTGGTCCAGGAGAAGGTTAACAAGAAGGACCTTCCTCCAAAGCTGATGGAGACAGAAAGCCTTCCCCTACAGCTGACACCCTGAATTTGGACTTCTAGCCTACTAGATTGTGAGAAAATACATTTCTCTTTGTTAAAGCCATCCACCTGTGGTACTTCTGTTATAGCAACACTAGATGACTAAGACAGGTACTATCACAATTTTATGCCTATTAAACTTGCTCTCTTGTAGTCCTAGCAAGTTTTTTACTTCTTTTTTTTTTTTTAATTTATGTCCTCCCCTAGCTGAAAATAAAGTTTGTGTAATATTGGCATTTATCTGGTCTCATCTTATCATGCTGGAACCTGAACACCAAGAGATCTACTAAAGCAGGAGTTCTATATGGAAACCCTCAGTGCTCATGGGCAGGTGATGAAGAAAATTCACAAGCAAACAATGAGATTCAAAAGCTGAATATGGGTAAGGTACTCTTGGTAGGCTTCCTTCAGGTCACTTGTCATGGGGAGAACTGTGAACTGCTGACTTGAAAGGTTTTTCATTTTCAAACCTATATAAGCCTTAATCTATGTGTACCCTTTTAAACTAGGTTCAAGACAGGGAAAGCCTGTTCTAATGATACTCTCAGACACCATAATTATTCAGAACATCTCCCAGAATTTTATGTACCACATGGGTGTCTGTGTCCTCTGTATCACCCAGGATAACAGGGACAATAGCTACTAATCAGGCACCTTGAAATACATACATAGTTACTAATACAGATCACTGACACATATTTCTTGACCATCTGATACATAATTTGTAGCCAGATGACTCTAATTACTAAATACAGTGTTTAAAATGCTGATATTGATACCATCAGGTCATCTACGTCAATGCCACAAAGACACTGTGGGTCCATCCACTGTTGGCTGTCCCATTACCTAATTTGCAAACATTCATTTAAGAATATTTACATATTTCAAAGTCATCTTAAAACTGAACAACAGTTTAGCTTAATTAATAAAAAAGGCCCGTCTTGATTGAGCATTATGCTCTTTTAAGAACCATCTTTAAGGGATCAATTGACAAGAGCAACTTGAAAGATTAGACAGGAACCTTAGGGGGGCAGTGAGTTGATGTTAATGAGGGAGGAACAACTCAGAAAAGGAGGGTGAGAATGGCTGTAGAACTCGAAGAATGTAATCAATGTCACTAAATTGTACATGTAGAAACTGTTGAACTGGTATGTGTTTTGCTGCATATATTCTCAACAACAACCACAAAATAAATAAAGTTTAGGGGGAAAAAAAGAATTTTAACATATTTTGCTAGGATATGCTTAGCAAAGAGTGGAAACTACACCAGAACACCAAATCAAGGTCTGGCTTCAGTAAAATAACATACTTAACTACTCTCAAAGATTAAATGCTTGACACAGTTGCTCCATTTTGGATAAAACAGAATCATTGCTTCTTATTAGTCTTCATTTGCACATATCTAATAGAACAGAAGGAACTGACTTAACGGCAGTGGGTTAACAGAACTTAGAGGAGTCCCTAGGTGGTACAAATGGTTAACACGCTCAGCTGCTAACCAAAAGGCTGGCGATTTGAGTTCACCCAGAGGTGCATGGAAGAAAAGGCCTGGTGATCTACTTCTGAAGAATTAACCACTGAAATCCCTGTGGAGCACAATTCGACTCTGACACACATGGGGTCACCATGAGTCAGTCGACTCGATGGCAACTAGTCTGATTTTTTAATGGAACAGAGTACACAGATAGACAGACAGACCATGTGTCAGGGAGGGCGCTGCTCTGGGCACCTGGAAGCTCTACCCCAGCCCTAATTTACCTCCCAGCCCAAAGATATCCATTTGGGCTATTAAGTGCAATAGATCCTTGACATAAGCAAGGGATCTATCTGGACACATTCACATATTCCCAAACTTGTGAATATCACTACAGTCATCATCACCTAAATTTGGATAATACCACCCATCTCAAAGAAAGCTGTTTTGAGGATTAAATAAATACATCAAAGCTTCACTAAAATATGAATGACAGGTAGCTGGGACAACTCACTTAATATCTTAGTGCTCCCTTCTATCCATCAGTCTCACTAGCTTAAATCCATGCTACATAAAAATGATAATTTACTATATTGAACCTTTGAGAGTAGTCAATAGTACAAATGTTAAAACGTAAAATCTCAAAAGTCAACCGTATTGGAATGGGCTATTATTAACTGAGAATGAAAATTCTATCCTTTCAATAAGAAAATATGACTAAATCTATACAATACAGGTAAGACGCCCAGCTAGCTAAGACAATTTGGGGAAAGAACATCAGCAAATATGATTTGAAACTCATAACTTCTCTTTTGACCCTATAGTTCTTAACTCTGTTATGACATTTTCTGAGCAGTTCCACAAGCTTGGAAACTATAATTTACAGTGGAGTAGGGAATGTGGAACATATCACAGTTTATACGAAACAGGAACCTAGAAAATCTCCTGAGTTTTTTAGAAGGATGATGTGGCAGAAAACTCTAGGAGCTCAGGAGTAGAGGAGATAGAAACCACACTCCAGAGGGCTAAGGCCACAACAAGAGGAGTTGGGATAAAAAAAAGCCAGCTTTTGCCTTTGCTTTATAACCTGTGCATTCGGAACAGGGAGATGCAAATGACTATATTACTTAACATAAATAAAATGCATTCTTCAGAAAATGTCTTTAGCAAGATATAGGATCTTATTTGTTTCTACTGTGCTACATTTTACTCTCCAAGAAAATAAAGTAGCTTCTTGTTTCTTAGGGGCTCCAACTACAAAAACACTTGAACATTAATTGTTCCAGATAGCCCTAGGGTTCAGCATGGACTAGTACAGGGTTCTTAACTTTTTCTGATCACAAATTCCTCTGAAAATTTAAAACATACATGTCCTCTCTCCCCAGAAAAATGCATTGCACATCTATATGCAATTCTGTGTACATTTTCAAGGGGTTTATACAGTCAAAGATTCTATTCTTTCATACACCAAATATTTATCAAATGCCTATTATATGCCAATTACTGTGTGATGTAAACAAATCTCTACTGACCTACAGGAAAATCCCTGAAGATGTGGGAAGAAGACCTGGGCTCTAGGACAACGCAGTCAATACAAAGTCCAACCCAATCCATACAAAGTCCAACCCAATCAATACAAAGTTGGGTGGCCTTCTTAGGCAAATTTCTGTATCTCAGTCTCAGGTTCTCCACTTGATAAATTTCAGTACCTGTTAAACTTACTTAATGAAGTTGTTATGTGGAGAAGAGATGTTAAAAACCGCATTAAGATATCAAAGGAATTACATTAGTGTCACTTCAGGGTGTACTCAGAAATACCAGAGAAATTTGAGAAATAATCATGATCCTGAGCAAGAATGTGGTACTGAGAAGAAAGAGGTTCACTCTGTACAGATTTCCTTAGCATAACTTCTTACACTATGCCTATTCCTTTTTAGGATTTCCAGTCCTTTCTTATTAAACGTTTTTTTAGACAATTACATGAGAGAAAACCCACCAACAAGAGGCATACCTTTGTCTGAGCTCCTTGGAGGCCCGGAACACCGACTGCAGGTTGCTAACATCCACCTGCACAATGGTGACCTCGGCTGTAGGGTGAGAGGCCAGTAGATCGGCTCGGACAGCTTCCGCTTTGCCCACGTTCCTACATGCCAAACACAGGTGAAGCTCATCGTCCTCCGCTAGTAGCCGCTTGCAGAGGGTCAGGCCAATGCCACTGAAAAGGGCAGTTCAAGCACAGGAAACGCGTGATTAGGGACAGTGTCAGAAGCATTTCTCTCTGGATCTGAAAACTAATTCTGCCACTTTTAGTTCTAATCAGGAGTCCAGGCAGACAGAAAAGATTCAAAAATTATTTAAGGCAGGAGGCGCCCCACACTCTAACAGCCACTTGCTCAGGACACTGTCCAGTTTGTGTTTCTCTCATTCTGCAAAAGCTCAGAGACACAATAACCGGACTGCAGATAAGAGTTGTCCTTTATCATTTCTATTAATACAGAGCTTATCCTGCCATTGGTTTTCATTTTGCACTTATGTCACCCATGAAAGTGACTCAATACCATCACCAGCAAGTGCCGAAGAGAGCATCTTACCAGCTGTTTCCTGTGTGCATGTTTTACTTTGCTGCTAGGTTCCTCAAGGGCCGGTGTCTTTCACCTGTTGATATCATGGCCACCAGAGATCCCTGATAAGGGGATGGTTGAATCTTTCAGGAAGAGGCATCAGTAACATGGCAGGAGGTACAAGTCCCTCTCAACTCTATGATCAAATAACCAATAAGATGAGAAAGAACTCAACATGATTAAGTAGATAGAAGGAACAGAGGAAATATGAGATCAAGGAACACACTGCTCAAAGACAAACTACTTCAGAAAAAGGATTGTGAAACTACATGGTAGCTGGGGACAGTCAGACCAGCTTGGCTGATAGCAATGAAAGTCTGAGTAAGATGTTCTCATCCAAGATTGCAGCTGATTCCAGACAAAGAGATAGCAACCCCAAAAGAGCCTGGCACTATCAGTAATCCAAAGATGAGCTAGGTAGATACCTTGGTGTTGAGCAAGTGATACCTGTGACCACCTCCAGGGGAGGAGGTCCACCACATGGAGGATAGCAAAGAGCATAATAATGCCATCAGGAGCAGCAGCCCTGGGATGTCAACCCACTCCGTGGTTGGCAGGTGTCAAGGTCTCCAAGAAAGACACGAGTCACATGGGCATTGGATGGAAAAACGCTCATATGGAGAAAGGACAGAACAAAATCAGCTTCAATAGTGGGCACTGGTTCCCCTGGCCACTGGGTCTCGCTTTGCAGCCAACACATGGAGATGGCCTGCACGCACCCTTCTTGTGTTGCAGGCAGACCCTATTCCCTCTCGTCTGGAAATAGATAAAGCAGTCGGGCTGGCCAGGTGCCGTATACCGCACATACTTAGCTAAGCAGTTTCTGAAAATGTTGACATGCGCTCAGGAAAAAGGGGAAGGATGCCATGATAAAAGCTGGGATGCCCCAGTAAAAGAAGTCAGCACATATTCGTATCCCAGCCAAAACCAAGCTAACACATCTGGTCCTACTAAGCACAAGGTTCATTTGTAGGTCGCAGTGAAAGGCAGCAGCCTACACATTCAGATTGCCTCCTTCCACACTTAGGCAGTTGGCCCTGCCAACCAAAAAAAAAACCCATTGTCATCGAGTTGATTCCAACTCATAGGGACCCTATAGGGCAGTAGAACTGTCCTGTAAGGTGTCCAAGGAGCAGCTGGTGGATTCAAACTGCCAACATTTTGGTTAGCAGTTGCACTCTTAACCACTGCACCACCAGGGCTCCGCCCTACCAACAGAGCACCAAATATATGTATGTTTTGTTCATCCTCCCTTGAGAATAGTAGCCCTTTGATATAAATATACAATTGCACACTTCACAGTATACGTAAAAGAAATACGCAAAATCAATCCTGACTTATTTAAACACCTACTACACAGGAAGCTACTACATCAGTTGTCAAAGTCGCTCCTAAGAGGACACACTCAACACACTGCCAACTGCAGACAACTATCACACTGGCTTAATTAATACAGACGCAGTTAGGGCAGAAGACAGGCCTGGCGATCTGCTTCTGAAAGGTCACAGCCTTGAAAACCCTATGGAGCAGTTCTGCTCTGCACACATGGGGTCGCCATAAGTCAGAATCTACTCTCTGGCAACTCAGAACAGCAATAACATCAACAGATATTGGAAAGTGGAGCAATTTCTAAATGACTTTTCACATATCCTGTCTTAACTCCTGGCAAACTCCAAATGTAACAAGTAGAAAAATGGTTTGGTCAGTTTCGTCCTCCACACATTTTTCATGGAAGCGCAAGTAAGAAGTAAAACAGCCAAAAGAAGAGGCCGAGTGTCCAAATAATCAACCCTAGAATGAGCTGGCAATGAGCTGGTTGCAAACCGTACCCTGCCTTAACAGGAAAAGTTACTTTTCTCTGGGTTTCTAAAGAGCATATGCTAGGTGTCTAGCTTTGTGCTAGATGCAATGAGGTATTTGTTTTCATCTCCCCATCCGTTGTCTTAATGTTCAAGGATGTTGAACTCTGGCTGCGGGTGAGAATCCTACACAGACAAAACACTTGGAATGCAAGACTTGGCCCTAAAGGTCTGTACTGAACTGATGGCCCTAAAGGGAAATACTTAAGAAGATGTCAAAGGTGGGAGGGGGCAGGGTTCTACCTGGCAAGTTCCCTTTTCCCTGGATAACCAAAGGTCATCACCGCGACGCTCCTGGCGTACTGGCGCTCCAGTTTTCCTTTCAATTGTCATGTTTAATCCAAATCACCAGTTACTGAGCATCTCAAAGGGCCGCCACGCCGCGTACCTCGCGCAGTGGAGTTCCCAGAGAAGTGCGGGGCAGGGTCTCGGTTCGAGTTCCCACAGAGGCAAGCTCAGGGCAGCCGCCCCCGGGGTCGGTCCGTAACAGGTCGCCCTGGCCCGTACCTCCTGCTCCTTCGGACCCATGAGCCATTGCTGCCTCCGCTATCGCGAGGGAGAACTCACCTGCTCGCCCCTGTGACCAAAACCACCTTCCGCATGGTCGCACACTCGCTCTCAAAGCAGTCAAGCAGACACCAGTCTCAGTTTTCGGAAGCCTTAAAGCCGGCTGCTGGCCCAGGCCACGCCCGTGCGCTCCGTCGTCCAATCCGGGAGGCCCCGCTGCCCGGCGCAACCGACTCCGCGCCCCGCCCTCCATGATGAGCATTCCGCCACCGCTTGCCGAGCGGGGCCGGCCGGGGTGGGCTGAGATAGGCCGAGAGGCGGAGCCGCGCGACGCAGCGGCCTTAGCCAATCCCGGCTTTCCCCGCCCCGCCGGAGCGCCAGTGTCCCGCCCCAGGCGGGCCCCCGACTGCCGGTGCCTGCGCTTGTCTGGCACCCGTGGGAAGTACGGGTTGTATTTCCTGGCGCTTATGGGTGGCACTGCACTGCAGGAAGGCCAGTAGAGTATTTGCACCAAAGCTTCATATTTCAGAGGAAAGGTTTGGGTTCAGGAACTAAAGTTTTGCGATGAGTTTTCCATCCTTTCAGGATTTGTGGATCCAGGCACAGTGCCATTTTCCTCCTCTAAAGAATCGTCTTTGAGAAGATGAACATTGATTGTATTAAGAATTGTAGGAAGAATCATACAAAAATTACCAGTCTTCAAAACTTGGAATACAGCATGGAGTCAGAGAATCCCAGAACTTCACAGGACGGTATGAGTCGTGGACTTTAACCCCCTACATCAGTGCGTCTCAAACTCTCTGGTAAATCACCCGTTTTGTCTTTACAAACCATTCCAGACAGGTACTTTTGGAAAATGCAGTAAAGATGAATTACTAGAAAAATAAAAACAAAACGCAAAATACATATAAATACAAGCCCTAATTTTTATTATTAAATTCGACACAAAATTACTCTGTCAAACTGCTATAAAAGTTCCTAATGTTTCTAGAGTTCTGTATTCATCATGGACTGGTAACAGGACCATCACCAATCTGGGTCCACACTTGGAGTAACACTGCACATCATACACTAAACTAGTGAACATGCTTTGGTCTACTTCATGGCCTCCCAAAGTTTTAATTATTTATGAACCACAGTGATCCCTGAAAGATATGAGACTGAGATAATCTGTTCTGAAGTTTGAATATCCTACAGGTTTGTTTTGGTTTTTTTTTAATTGTAGTTTAGATGAAGGTTTACAGAACAAATAGTTTCATTAAACAGTACGCATATTGTTTCTTGCCATTGCTTAACAACCCCAGGACATGTCAACACTCTCCCTTCTCGACCTTGGGTTCTCTATTACTAGCTTTCCTGTCCTCTCCTGCCTTCTAGTCCTTGTCCCTGGGCTGTTGTGCCCCGTTAGTCTTGTTTTGTTTTATGGGGCTGTCTAATCTTTGGCTGAAGGGTGAACCTCTGGAGTGACTTCATTACTGAGCTAAAAGGATTTCCGGGGGCCATACTCTCTAGGTTTCTCCAGTCTCTGTCAAGCCAGTAAGTCTAGTCTTTTTCGTGTGAGTTAGAATTTTCTTCTACATTTTTCTCCTGCTCTGTCCGGGACCCTCTGTTGTGATTCCTGTCAGAGCAGTCAGTGGTGGTAGCCGAGCACCATCTAGTTGTACTGGACTCAGTCTGGTGGAGGCCTTGGTAGTTGTGGGCCATTAGTCCTTTGGACTAGTCTTTCCTCCTGTCTTTAGTTTTCTTCATTGTCCCTTGCTCCAGAAGTGGTGAGACCAGTGGAGTATCTTAGATGGCTGCTCACAGGCTTTTAAGACCGCAGATGCTACTCACCACGGTAGTTACGTAGAACATTTTCTTTATAAACTATGTTATGCCAATTGAGCTAGATGTTCCCTGGGACCATGGTCCCCACAGCCCTCCACCCAGCAATTCTGTCCCTCAGGGAGTTTGGATTTGTCTGTGGAGCTTCCACGACCTTTCCTTGTACAAGCTGTGCTGGCTTCCCCAGTATTGTGTACTGTCTTACCCTTCACCAAAGTTATCATTTATCTATTGTCTATTTAGTATTCCCCCCCCCACCTCTCCCCTCCCTTATAACCATCAAAGATTGTTTCTTTTTGTATGTAAATATTTTCATGAGTTTTTACAGTAGTGGTCTCATACAATATTTGTCCTTTTGTGATGGACTTATTTCACTAAGCATAATGCCCTCCAGATTCATCCATGTTATAAGATGCTTCACAGATTCATCATGGTTCTTTATCTTTGCATAATACTCCATTGTGTGTATGTACCATAGTTTATCCATTCATCTGTTGATGGGCATCTAGGTGGTTTCCATCTTGTTGCTGTTGTGAACACAGCTGCAATGAACATGGGTGTGCATATGTCTATTCGTGTGACGGCTCTTATTTCTCTGAATATATTTCTAGGAGTGAGGTTGCTGGATCATATGGTATTTCTATTTCTAGCTTTCTAAGGAAGCGCCATATCATTTTCCAAAATGGTTGTATCATTTTGCATTCCCACCAGCAGTGCATAAGAGTTCTGATCTCCCCGCAACCTCTCCGACATTTGTTACTTTTAGTTTTTTTGATTCGTGCCTGTAATGCTGAGGTGAGATGGTATCTCATTGTGATTTTGATTTGCATTTCTCTAATGGCTACTGATCCGGAGCATTTCCTCACCGGTCTGTTGGCCGCTTGAATGTCTTCTTTGGTGAAGTGTCTGTTCATTTCCTTTGCCCATTTTTTAAATTGGATTATTTGTGTTTTTGTTGTAGAAGTGTTGGATTTTCTTGTAGATTTTAGAGATTAGACCTTTGTCTGATTTGTAATGTCCAAAAATTTTTTCCCAGTCTGTAGGTTCTCTTTTTACTCTTTTGGTGAAGTCTTTTGATGAGCATAAGTGTTTAATTTTTAGAAGATGGCAGTTATCTATCTTATCTTCTGGAGTTTGCGTGTTGTTAGTTATGGTTTGAATCCTGTTTTTGTTGGGAGTTTTTTAGTAACCTTTTCAGTCTTCTTTTGTTATGGGTTTATTTAGTTGTTCTACCTCTGTTTGTGTTAATTTAGGTGGGTAGTGAGTTTCTAGAAATTTGTCTATTTCCTCTAGGTTTTCAAATTTGTCAGAGTACAATTTTTCATAGTAATCTGTTATGATTCTTTTGATTTCAGTTGGGTCTGTTGTGATATCACCCATCTCATTTCTTATACTGTTTGAATCCTGTTAATGCCGTGTATTAGGGCCTCTAGTGTAGATCCTGTTTTTTCTTTTATGAACTTTGTAGTTTTTGGCTTTATATTTAGGTCTTTGATCCATTTTGAATTAGTTTTTGTATACCTACAGGTTTTGATTCATCTGGTACCAACTAGCTTAGTAAGATTTGTCTTATACCAATAAAATTCTAAATAAATATAAATAAAACCTGATTATTTGAACATTGTTGTTGTTGTTGGGTGCTGTGGAGTCGATTCTTATTCATAGCAACCCCATGTGACAAAGTAGAACTGCCCCTTAGGGTTTTGTTGGCTGTTATCTTCACGAAGCTGATCTTCATGTCTTTTACCTGCAGAGCGACTAGGTGGGTTCAGAACCACCAACCTTTTGATTAGCAGCCAAGCACCTAACTATTGTGCCACCAGGCTTCCTTATTTGAACATTAGATGCCTAAATAAACAAAAATGTTTTATCATTTGGGTGGAATTCAGTTCCTACCTTTATCCCACTTTCAACTATTCTAAAAAAATTTTTTAGAAAAGGTTGCCAGTTGAGTGGATTCTAACTCATGGCAAGCCCATGTATTTCAGAGTAGAACTGCATAGAACTGCACTCCATAGGATTTTCAATGGCTGGTTTTCCAGAAGTAGCCTGCCAGGTTTGGGTCAACTCCAACCTCCAATCTTTCAGTTAGTAGCCGAGCACTTAACCGTTTGTACCACCCAGGGACACCCCCACTACCCATCGTTGTTGTATGTCATTGAGTCATTCTGACTCATAGTGCTCCTGTAAGAATAGAGTAGAACTGCCCCATAGGGTTTCTTAGGCTGTAATCTTTAAGGGAGATCGCCAAGTCTTTTCTTCTGCAGTGCCACTGGTAGGTTCGAACCACCAGCCTTTCTATTAACAGCCGAGAGCTTTAACCATTGCATCACCAGCCCTCCTCCCACTGCCCATAACCCCATTCATAGTCTGACTATGGTCACTTCTCTCCTTGTTTATTTTGCCCCTCCTGCACCCCCGTCCCCACTCACACCACATAGCCACTTGAATCCCTGGCCCTTAGTCCTGGATTCAGACCACACACCATGGGGTCAGAGTGTGCATTCATGAGTCCCCTGGCTATTCTGGAAGAATCTTTCTATTCCCTTACTTATCATGGTCATAGCTGAAAAAATTATGTCATATTTTTCAGAAAAATAAGAATACAAAATTATTCTTCAGGGACCAGGTAAGAAATATGTTTTAATCCCAATTTCTATTATGAAAACATTCTGTATTCTGGTTGATCATAGTATTTGTTGCTTTGTGTATATGCGGGCAGTCTGAGACAGACCATGTTTTGATTTGTGCATCAAATAAGACAACTCAGTAACAGCCACAATAATAAAGGATCCCCAATTAACTCTGGACCAGATTCCCTGTAACTAGACAAATGTAAAGACATAAAACCCCAGTCTCTAGTGTATTTGATTATTTCAGAGACCAAGATGGTTTTCTTCTAATAAACAGTAAACTAATATGTGAGTTATTGGCACCGGTTAGGTGCCATCAAGTTGATTTTGACTCATAGTGACCCCATGTGACAGAGTAGGACTGCCTCATAGGGTTTTCTAGGCTACAGTGTTTATGGGAGCAGATTGCTAGGTCTTTCTCCGTGGAGCCACTGGGTGGGTTCAAACTGCCAACCTTTTGGTTAGCAGCCAAACAGTTAACTATTGTGCCACCAGGGCTCCTTCCAGGGCTTCTAAGCCTATGTAAATAACCCTTTGTTACATATATACACAAGAAACAGGCATACGCCCCCCACCCCCAACTGAGCCCCGTCCTTTCTCCTAAAAGGGGGCCAAGTCAGGGTGACAAATTCCAGAACTGCTGTTGTTTGCGCAGAAAGAAGC